GAGATTTGGCTCACCAATTTCTGACTCGAAATGGAAGTAAGCTCAACAGTTATAATCCAAATGATTTTCTTTATTCTATCTTTTATTTGTAGCTGCTAAGTACGAATTCGCCTAGCAAAGCAGGGACCTGATATCTAACTGTCTAGATTTATGACCGGCCCCCTACTCTCTTTTGTACGCTATTTCGTATATTATCGTTCCTCGCTCCGACGATGTCTGTCACTGCGGTACAGATGAAAGCCCTGCAGAAGAAGTTTGGCCGAGTCATGATTATGCAATCCAACAGACTTCTCTCTACTCCACTTTACGGCATACTTTTTCTATTTACGAAGAGCCCAATTCTCGAGTCCTTTCGAAGCAATTTTTTCGTCTAACCCGCAAGTCTAGTCACAATAACAAATTATCTATTCGTTGAAATCTAACTTTTGTATGTATACAAAGCGTTTTTGGTCCTAATAATTATTGACAAAGCGGCTACCGAGTGGATGTGAATAAAAACTGGTTTTCGAAGAATTCCTTTATGAAATATTATGTCGTGACTTTACATTTCGAAGCAAAATTTGGTCAGAAGACATTCGTGATATGGTCTCATCGGAAGCCAAAGAAGGAATGCCATCTACAGAAGACAGTTAGTTGCATCGTGAGAAGAAGTCCTCGGCTCACCGTCATGCGACTGCAATGAAATTGTGCTTAGCTCTCATCTGTACCATCGTGAAAGCCATCATCTGACCAAGAATCCGGCCACCTTTTCTCTTTTTTCACTGTATTATTGCTTTATTTTGTAAAGTATAAATTCTTGCTCTGATTATGTGTGTCTACGTGATACAGACGAATGCCTAGCACAGGTTATTCGGTTTCTCAGGACTTCTTGCACAATTCCATTTAGCTCTTGATTAAAACCATTCTACAACTTCTTTTAAATCAACTTTTTCTCCGAAACATTACATCATATCACAAAACGTCTACCTTTTTGAGGCTTATTTCTGCTCGCGTCCGAGGCACTCGAGCTGACCGAATTCGAGCTGAACAGGCTTGTGCCCGAGTCCACGCTGTCATCCCTCTCGAAGTCGGCCTCCTCGCCAGGCTCCAGCAGCCTGTTCGTCTGAAAGTCGAACTTGCTTCTGTCGATCAACCTGACGGCGGTTTGCGTCCTCCTCTTCGTCAATTCAACTTCCGCTTTCGCCGTCACTTCTTTTCTCTTTCTGCTGCTGCCGCCTGCGTCGCCTGCGTCGCCTCCACCAGCTTTCACGGTCGTCTTAGCCACCGTCACCAAACGTTGCCTGGCCGCCAGACAAGAGTCGGCAGTCTTGAAGTCGGCGCCTCGAAGACGAGGCGGATGGACTGGCACCAACTGACTCGTCGGCTCGTGTACCGCCGACTGGTTGGCGTCGATAAAGTCCAGTTCATCAAGTGAATCGTAGTCTCGCAGCATGAACTCGGCATCTTCAAATGGATCTATCAGGTTGGGAGCAATCGTCGTCGGGGCAGCGAAAACCGAACACTCGGCCGACCTGGACGTCGAGGAACCAGCCACCAACTGGCCAGTTTGCGAGGCGATCTGGCGTCTCGGCTGACCGCCGTACAGACCGAGCACGACGGTCTCTTTGAAGCATGACTCGTCGTCTTTACCCATTATCCAGTTGGTTGGAGACAGTAAAGCAAACAATTGCGGTCATGAGTGGGTGGCACAAGCGTTAATCTGTACCGAAAAAACGCTGATATCTCCGACACAGATTGGGTAATTTTATATTCGTAATTGAGTAGGGTTTCGAGACTACCCCTAAATCATTGTAATGAGATGTATTCACCATATTTCGTTTAAGGTGATGAAGGACTGGTAGTAGAATTTTC